TGGCACCTATCCTCTGGCCCGAATTGTATGAATCTGAGAAGCATATGCATAAGTTTACAATGATGCTAAGCAGCAGAGTATAACTGGTTCGCTGATTTCCAAGATAAAATCATTCCTATCAAAGAATGGCTACAGGGAATTAGCCTGACACTTGCACCAACTAGCAAAACCTTTTCTTGAAGATGCTTTATTTGAGATGGTGTAGAGCACTAGACTAGAGTGTGAAATAAAATGAAAGGAGAACTAGTACTTGTAGAAGAGAGCCACTGCAAATTGAGTAAAATAAAATGAAAGGACATTTTAAGTAAATGATATTCACTGCAAATTGGGTAAAGAAACTGCATTAAGACTCATCCCCAAACGGTGTTAAAGAACAAAGAGAAGTTCCTAGTAAACTGAAAACTCGGAAAACTCAGATTCCAGCTATATCCAATATCTGTCTCATTGAGGCATACCCTCCATATCAATTAAGTAATATTCTCTATGTTAGGAGCAGCATTAGCAATTTTTGCATCAGCCAATTTTATTAATAGCCAAATCAGCGGCCTTTGAAGATTTTCCTCAACAGACAAAATCAAACATGTAATTACCAACGAAGTCATACCGATAATCATATGTTAGTGGTTCTCCAACTTCAATAGCTCGAGAAGCAAAGCCAGTTGTGTCAGTGCCCGGCCTCGTATATTTGCATGTGCTGCCGGGCTCTGCCGGGCTGATAGAGCCCGGCAGCCCTGACAGTCGATTTTTGAAAAAAAAAACTTTTGACTAGCTGCCGGCTGAGTGATCTTTTTTTAAAAAAATTTTTTGTGTCAGGTGTCGGGCTCTGTTAGTCCGGCACCAATAATTTGATACCACATCCTTAACACCGTTTACTAGTAATTAGCCACAGCTATGCTAGTCGCTGATTCTAATGCTTCAGTGGTTTCACTTTCAAGTGATTGTTATCCAAGTAAACGCTCCAAAAGAGTTATAACAATATGCAGGTTATGCATTATTTACAGCCAAATTAAAAATTTGTGAGACAGGTTTAACATAAAGAAAACAACACAAATGTGAAATGATTCTGAGAGCAAAAAGGACGAATAAATTTTGGGTAAATTACACGTAATCCTGTGTGATTTTTATATTATCACATGATCTATTAAGGTTTTAAAATAGTAATATAATCTCTCTATGATTTTATGTAAAGTGGAAAATGGAAAAAAAGTATCATCAGTTATAATATTTGAACTAAGTACATTCTAAAAATTCATGTGATAGAATCATAATAACCACTTAACCCTTCTATGATTTGCATGAATATTTATTGTATTCCCTATAAGTTTTCTATTAGTTAGACGTTGTTCTCGTTTAAGACTGTATTGATATTTCAATTGATAACATTAAGGAGGCTATCTTCTGTCAAGTTTTCTTTTATATGAAACTACAGGAAGGTTATGTAAATATTTTGAAACGTTAGAAGGCCATGTGGCATTATGTAAAATCACATGAAAGATATGTGTAATTTACCCAATAACTCTTAAAAGAAGTATTAAAAGTGCATGACAAATTCAATTCGTTATGTGCTTTATAACTCAATATCGAGGTCCATTTTAACCATGGTTTGGCAACTTGATAATTTCCTTAAACTTCCAAAACTTCCAATTTATCTAAGCATTGAATTCTTATATTTGGAGGAGAACGATTGCTCCAAATCAATAAGGAAAGAGAGCAACACATTTTTCAGAGGGGCCACTAGAATGTGACTGAGAAACATACAAAAAATGCATATAACTATTGACACTATGGAAATAAGTTTCTTGATCATTGCCGTAGAATGAATGCTTGTTATCTTTCTAGTCCCTCCAGTACAAGACACTGAAGAAACAGCAGATACCCAAACGTTGGGATTCCTTGCATTTTTCTGCAATGCAGCAATTTGACCACCATTAAATTGTTGAGCTAGAGAATCAGTCATCTCCACTATCATATCCCATCAAGCTAAATGATATCAATTCTTACATACAGTCTCAGAAAATATTAAGCTTTTCAAAATTTGCGCAAGGCCGGAAAACTTCCAACCCAAATTTGTCATTCCTAATACCATTCCTGTCCCAATTCCGCACAAATTCTATCTTGTACAAATTTGGCTTTCCAAACACATCTGCACCCTAAGCTACTTCTTTACTGTTGACATGCTCAATTTTGCAGATAATTAGCCTATTAGAGAGGTTCTTTAAATAGTCCAGTTCTTCAATTTGATGAATCAGTTTGACCAACATTAAAGAATCTTAATGTTTGAGAACAAGATAGTTGCCCGATTTTAGATGACATTTAAAAATTGGAGTCAAATGCAGACAGATCAAATTGCCTCAGGCTTATCAAAATCCTGAACTGATCAACTCTCGTAGACACTCAATTCTCAAAAGTGTCTTCAGTTGCAAAGTTTTGATTGTTGTAAATGATAGATTAAGGTACACAAAACCTATCAGCTTGCTAATTGAAGTTGGGAACTGCTTAATATCTTACCTCTGTTAATACAAACACACGCAAAAGCTTGCAGGTAAACAGATCATCAAGAGTACTAGTCTCCAAAAACAATGGTGGTAGATGCCCTGCATTCACATTTCTAATTGTACATTTCTTTCCTCTAAAATAACAAAATTTTGCAAATTCTTTCCGTACCAGATTTTTCAAAATTCAGATACATTGTGCAAGACCACATACCTTACAATGTGTTCTGCTCTGATACTCAATTCACTTTCATGTATAGCAATAAGGGTCTGTTCGACAAAATGTCAGAAGAATGTATAGCATCATGAGATTGAATACACAGAACTAAAGATGGCATTATAGAATTTGCAGAATTGAATACATCCTTAACACACATGTAGACTAGAGTTTTCTTAGAATTTAAGTAGATTGTGACAACTTAGCATCCAATTAGAATATGATCGAAGTAGAAAATCTCAAAGCTCTTGCACCACTCAGTGCTGGAGCAGCTCCCCTAGTGACAGCATCTTTCCTATAAATCAAAAGATACGCATCCTATATCCAGGCTTCTGATGGATTGGTGGGAGGATATACTACTCAAGCTTTTTGCATTTGCCAACTTAGAACCCTTCAACAGATGAAAGCTTCTCAATTCAACCAGGCTATGCTTCTTTAAAAGGGCTGACAGGCCTCATTCGTAGCAGTTGTCATCTAAATGGAAACAAATTTAGTTTCCACTGTGCAATAGTAAATACACTCCAGAAAAGTGGAAGTAATAGACCTAGGAAGTAAATGCATGATTATGGAAGCAAGGACATACCGCAACTTAAAAATCCAACCAGTAGCTTTCCCATGTATTGCTTATCCATAGCTCTGTTATTTACCTTGTAAACCATGGGTGGAAGATTCACGATTTCAGACAAGTTTAAAATAAACGACAATTTAAGAAGACCTTACTAATTCTATTGTTTATGAAAATTTCATAAAGCCACAAAGAAATCAGCAGTATTGACCAAAATCAAATAAATTTTCTTAAATCAGAGAATTTTCATCACAAAGGGAAGTGTACCTCATGCATGAGAATCCCTGTAGCAAGCCAGAATGATCCGTCGCTGTCAGCCTCATATGTTCTTCCACGATTTACCAATTTGAGAGTAAACTCTCAAACTAGACTCAAAACTGCTTACAACCACGGGAGGAAATGGCATCATACAGAAGTTGCATAGTAAGCATACACCAATATAGAAAGCATTACACTCATGCTGAATTGTATTTTAACGTTCTCTATATGGAATTGAGCTTACCTTTCTGCTGCTCCTCCTGCTTGGAAAGTGCAAGAATCTTCCTTTTAGGGGAGATAAGATTAATCCCTCCAACAAAGGAAGTTTTCTTACTTTTTCTTGTGCAACTGTGAAGGAGGTCTTGAGCTAGGCCAGATATAGAAGAGATTCCTCACTATGTGCAATGACTCTGCTTTTCACAGACAGTCCTTTGAGCAAAAAAGTAGCTACCATCAGGCACCAACAAAGCAAGAAAAATTAGTAACATTCAATTCTTAGAAGATAACAACCTAAATGAGTGCTTACTTTTTAAAGGAATTAAGTGTAGATTTAGATCTTGAGTAGTTAATACTAACATGAATATAACAGGATAAGTAGCTAGCTAAATTATTCTAATTTATTAAACTTGACTTTTTTTCCTTGGAACCCACCATCTTAATGTTTTTGGTAGTGCCAAATTTGTCATGAATAGATTAACATCAGGTTATTGAGGCCAGAAACCCTTCTGTATCAATGGTATCAATGGCAGAGATTGTGGCAGAGGTTATGGGAAAGATTGTGGCAGTTATTATGGGAAAGATTATGGCAGATTATATGGCAGAGGTTATGGGAAAGATTATGGCAGATTATGACAAACATTATGGCTAAAATCTGTATATATTTCTTACCTAGAATAGAAAATCAGTTACCATAGCTGTATATTAGGTCAATCAATCAAGTATATATAGGGGTTTACCAAAAATAGATTGTACAGGAATTCTTATTTAATAGAAAGGACCAGGAAGAGGAACTGGATCCGATTCCAGTCAATTTACTCAAATTTTGTCATGGTATCACAGCCTACCTTTTGAATCTATAAGATATTTTGAGTATTTTTTTTTCTATAGCTTTTTGGGTTGATTTCTAATCAACATTCTGGTTTTGATATTTCTTAGTTTATCAATCTGTGATTTCGGATTTGCATTTGAGTTTTGTTAAGAATGGCTGCTGAGAATTCTTTTGGAAGACAATCTGCAGAGACTTTGGGTATCAGACTTACAGGGAAGAATTATGCAACATGGGAATTTCAGTTCAGAATGTTTCTGAAAGGGAAGGAGCTTTGGGGTCACATTGATGGGTCTTCTACTGCTTCTGGAACTGAGAAAGAAATAAGTCAATGGGAATCAAATGATTCACGAATTATTTCATGGATTTTAGCATCCATTGAACCTCATATGGTGAACAGCTTACGTTCATTTAATACTGCACAGGAGATATGGAATTTTCTGAAACGCATATATCATCAACACAACACTGCAAGACGATTTCAGCTTGAACTTGATATCAGTAAGTTCAGTCAAGGTAATCTCTCTATTGAGCAATATTATTCTGCATTTCTAAATCTGTGGGGTGAATATTCTGATATCATCTACTTTGAGATACCTAAGGAGGCCTTAGCAAGCTTTTAAAAAGTTCATCACGTTAGCATGCGTGATCAGTTTTTGATGAAACTGAGGCCAGAATTTGAGACTGCTCGGGGTGGATTGCTGAATCGAAATCCAGTTCCTTCTTTGGATGTGTGTGTTGGTGAATTGTTACGGGAAGAACAAAGATTGGCTACACAGTCAATTCTAAGTGCAGCTGGTGGGACATCAGAGGTTGTCAATGTTGCTTATGCTGCACAAGGAAGGAATAGAGGAAAGGGACAAATGCAGTGCTACAGCTGCAAGGAGTTTGGCCATATTGCTCGCAATTGTGGTAAGAAATTCTGCAGTTACTGTAAGCAAAGTGGACATATTCTCAAGGAATGTCCTACACGTCCGGAAAACAGGCGAGCCCAAGCTTTTCAAGCTACTGTTCCAGATGCTCCTGTTATTGGTCCTACATCTACCACCAGCCAGACTGTTCTGACCCCAGAAATGGTCCAGCAGATGATTCTTACTGCATTTTCTGCCCTTGGACTTCAAGGTCAAGGTAAGCCAGCTTCATCTACTTGGCTTATCGACTCAGGAGCGACCAATCATATGACTGGTTCATCTGATTTTTTACAAAATTTGCGGCCATATACTGGTTGCCAAAATATTCAGATTGCTAATGGTAGTAATCTTCCAATTACAGCTATTGGTGATATTGGACATTCTTTTCGCCATGTATTTGTTGCTCCTAAGTTGTCTACTAATTTAATCTCTGTTGGACAGCTAGTGGAGAATCATTGTGATGTACATTTCTCTCGTGGTGGTTGTCTTGTGCAGGACCAGATGTCGGGGAAGGTAATCGCGAAGGGGCCTAGAGTGGGAAGATTATTTCCATTGCAATTTACTGTTCCTAGAACTTTATCTTTAGCCTCTATGATTGTTGACAATAAGGCTGAAATTTGGCATAGACGATTGGGTCATCCAAATAATGTCATTTTATCTGATTTAATAAAGCGTGGTTTTCTTGGTGCTAAAGATCAAGGTTTTGCTCATGCATCATCTCTTGATTGTTCTGTGTGTAAATTGGGGAAGAGTAAGATGTTACCTTTTCCTACTTCTGTTGGTTGTGCTAGTGCATGCTTTGAGATAATACATAGTGATGTTTGGGGTATTACTCCTGTCATTTCACATGCGCAGTATAAATACTTTGTGACATTCATTGATGACTATAGTCGGTTCACATGGATATATTTCCTGCGCACTAAAGCTGAGGTGTTTACTGTTTTTCAAACCTTTGTGGCTTACATTGAGACACAGTTTTCCACTTGTATTAAGATCTTACGGTCTGATAATGGTGGGGAATATGTGTCATATGACTTCCAAGCCTACTTGCAACGCAAAGGGATTGTATCTCAGAGATCATGTCCTTATACCCCTCAACAAAATGGGGTGGCTGAACGCAAAAACCGCCATTTGTTGGATATGGTTCGAACATTACTCTTGCAATCTTCTGTACCCCCTAGATTTTGGGTTGAAGCTTTGTCAACTGCTGTGTATTTGATTAATCGATTGCCTTCTCAACAATTGGGTTTTGATTCTCCTTATTATCGTCTTTTTGGTGTACATCCTAATTATCACATGCTACACACATTTGGTTGTGTTTGTTTTGTTCACCTACCACCTCATGAGCGGCACAAGCTTGCAGCTCAGTCAGTTCGGTGTGCCTTTATGGGATATAGCACCACTCAAAAAGGATTCTTATGTTATGATGCTGTTGCTAATCGTTTGCGTGTCTCTCGACATGTCATTTTCTTTGAGCATGAGTACTATTTTCCGCAGCACACTTTTCCTTCCAACAATGTTGTTCTTCCTAGCTTTGATGATATCTCTCCACCAATTCAACGATTTAGACCTGGCATTGTCTATCAACGTCGACGACCTCCATCAGTAGAAATCCTTCCCGATCCTGCTCCACTGCCTACCACTTCTGATGATTCTGTGACTCTGCGACGATCTTCCCGTATCAGCAAACCTCCTGATAGGTATGGTTTCTCTGCCGCTTTAGTTGACACTGCAGTACCTTCCTCTTATTCTCAAGCAACTAAACATGCATGTTGGGTAAAAGCTATGGATGAAGAACTTCAAGCTCTTTTGGAGAATCATACTTGGGACATCGTACCTTGTCCTACTGGTGTAAAACCCATTGGCTGTAAATGGGTCTATTCCATTAAACTACGGTCCGATGGAACGCTTGATAGACATAAAGCGAGATTGGTGGCCCTTGGTAATCGACAGGAATATGGAATCAATTATGAGGAGACATTTGCTCCTGTAGCAAAGATGACTACGGTACGACTTGTTCTTGCCATTGCTGCTTCTAAGGGGTGGTCACTGCGACAGATGGACGTTAAGAATGCCTTTTTACATGGAGATCTGAAAGAAGACATTTATATGACTCCACCACCAGGGTTATTCTCCACACCTTCAGGTGATGTTTGTAAGTTGAAACGATCACTCTATGGTTTGAAACAAGCTCCACGTGCTTGGTTTGATAAATTTCGTTCCACACTTCTTGGTTTCTCCTTTGTCCAAAGCCAGTATGATTCCTCTTTGTTTCTTTGCAAGACATCTAAAGGCATTGTCATACTTCTTGTATATGTTGATGATATTGTTATTACCGGGACTGATTATGCATTGATTTCTCAACTTCAAGACCATCTTCAACGTTGTTTCCATATGAAGGACCTGGGTTCTTTACAGTATTTTTTAGGTCTTGAGGTATATTCTAGTTCCACCGGTATTTTCTTAACCCAGCACAAATACATTCGGGAGTTAATTGCTTTGGCTGGTCTTCAAGATGGTCGATCCGTTGATACCCCTTTGGAAGTGAATGTTAAGTATCGTCATGATGAAGGTGATCTTATCTCTGATCCGTCTTTATATCGACAGCTGGTGGGTAGTCTAAACTACCTGACTATTACTCGCCCTGATATCTCTTTTGCTGTTCAACAAGTTAGTCAGTTTATGCAAGCACCTCGGCACCTTCATTTGGCAGCTGTTCGCCGCATTGTTCGCTATTTGAAAGGCACTTCTTCTCGTGGTCTTTTCTTTCCAGCAAACTCTCCTATTCGCTGATTGCATATAGTGATGCTGATTGGGCTGGTTGTTCTGATACTAGACGTTCAGTTACTGGTTGGTGCATGTTCCTTGGTACTTCTCTCGTTTCCTGGAAAAGCAAGAAGCAAGACAGGGTGTCTAAGTCTTCTACGGAGTCTGAGTATCGTGCTATGTCTTCTGCATGCTCTGAAATTGTTTGGCTCCGTGGATTGTTAGGTGAGCTCGGGTTTCCTCAAAAAGGGTCTACACCGCTTCATGCCGACAACACTAGTGCAATTCAAATTGCGGCTAATCCAGTATTTCACGAGCGTACCAAACACATTGAAGTGGATTGTCACTCTATTCGTGAATCATATGATGCTCAGGTCATCTCTCTTCCGCATATCCCCACTGATCTCCAGATTGCGGATGTGTTTACTAAAGCTCTCTCCAAAAATCGTCATCACTTTCTTGTTGACAAATTGATGCTTGTTGATCAGCCAGCATCAATTTGAGGGGGGATATCAATGGTATCAATGGCAGAGATTGTGGCAGAGGTTATGGGAAAGATTGTGGCAGTTATTATGGGAAAGATTATGGCAGATTATGACAAACATTATGGCTAAAATCTGTATATATTTCTTACCTAGAATAGAAAATCAGTTACCATAGCTGTATATTAGGTCAATCAATCAAGTATATATAGGGGTTTACCAAAAATAGATTGTACAGGAATTCTTATTTAATAGAAAGGACCAGGAAGAGGAACTGGATCCGATTCCAGTCAATTTACTGAGGTTATGGGAAAGATTGTGGCAGATATTATGGGAAAGATTATGGCAGATTATATGGCAGAGGTTATGGGAAAGATTATGGCAGATTATGACAAACATTATGGCTAAAATCTGTATATATTTCTTACCTAGAATAGAAAATCAGTTACCATAGCTGTATATTAGGTCAATCAATCAAGTATATATAGGGGTTTACCAAAAATAGATTGTACAGGAATTCTTATTTAATAGAAAGGACCAGGAAGAGGAACTGGATCCGATTCCAGTCAATTTACTCAAATTTTGTCATTCTGCACCCTCAATATAGCCAAATTCAAACTTCATCTAAGTGATCAAGCTATCTAAACAACGTCTAGATTTTGTTCAAGACAACCCGTTTCAATAGAAATAGTCCTCCTAGATTTGAGAAGCAAAATCAAAAGTCCACAAAAACATAAACAGCAAGAAACAGATAAAAAGCAAAATGATAAGGCTGATAGAGGACTGCAGCAGCATTGATGGTACCAAAATCCTTCCCAAAATTCTAAACAATTTCAATTTCGAAAACCACACAGTTCATTTTGTAAGAATTAGTTAGATAACAAAAAACACTGAATTTGCAAGATACCTCAAAAAATAAAGTCAATAAATTATATTACTTGATATTTAAGTCGTGCCTTAAAGCAGTTTCTTGATATTTCTTCCCAGTGGAACTCTTAGTGAAGATAATGGACAATCTACTATTATTTATGTCATGGAGTGTGCTAATGAAGTTACATATCATCCTTGTAGCTGGTTCTTGAAGTTTACTTGTTTATCTACAGTAAGCAAACAAACTGCTTTGAGGTGTTCATCTTCTTTTGGTTGTATTTATCTGTTTGTTCAATTATTTCTAATTCAGTGTGTTTACAAGTACCATACAGGTATTTGACTTGTCTATTCGATCTTAACTAAGTACTTGAAGATTTTTGCCTATCCATCGGTTCCACTTACAAGGCGTGGAGACGCTTTTACACCAGGAGATTGCCATCCACATCATGTATACTTCCAATAATGTGAGCCTTCCTCTCAGAAATTTACTTTCTGATTGAATGATATCCATCAAAATTCCATGTAAAAATTTTGACTTCTCACCGTCCATTAACCTAATTCATCTTAAAGACTCAAAATGATATACATCTCCATGACGGGCTAGAGAATTTTATGCAACATTAAGATGAAAAAAAGGGATAGTATTAACCTGGCATCTTTGCCATCAACCATTCAATAACCCTGAATTAAAGGATTGTCCCATCACCAGATTGAGAGAATAGCTAGTGTTCATAGTTGCTCATACACATGAAAACTTCCCTAGCATGTCTTCAGACAATTCATCTGATCTCGAGCACCCAAACAACTGTATGACAAGGCAGAGTTGCATTAGAGAACTAACACAAAAGAATGTAATCTACTAGTAACATTGTTAAACAGACACCTATAATCCACTAAGGCATAAGAACTAACTCAACAACTAAAAGAACCTCAAAATATTCTGATTTGCTAACTACAGATGAACAAATAATTTCAAGAACCACAAACAAGAAGGAATATATGCAACTTCATCCTTTAATTATTGCATACCAAGTGAACCACAAAAAAGCAGTTGCCCATTGTTTCAACAAGTAGCTCCTTTTGGAAGATAAATCAGGGAATTGCTTGACGGGAGTACTTGACTGATTTATCTTAATGTTTCAGCCACTAGTAACTAACAAAGTTACTATTTACTGCTGCAAGGCAATACAATTTAAAGGTCGGCTCTCTAAATTGTCTTCATAGGCGAATAAGTATTCCTGAATCAGAAATATTTCATCACAACGAGGAGTGGACCTCATGTATGAGGATTCCAGAAGCCAGCCAAAATCATCTTTGTTGCAGGAGGAGAGCTTTAAGCCTCAAAAATATTTATTCCACCCTTTTCTATGTATACTGTACCATGAATCTTTACCAATGGTTGACTGTAAACTTTCAAACTAGACTTATCATTGCCTACAACATAAGAAAAGATGTCACTAGATCAAAAGTTGCCCACCAATTGAATATAGCAAAGGAGAAAGCATTATAGTCATTCTGAATTGTAACTAAACCTTCTCCATGTACACAACGAGAAAAAGCCTTCCTTTTGG